GCTGTTATTCCACGGATGCTGTCCTTCCCCAGAAGCGCTGCTATTCCACGGATGCTGTCCTTCCCCAGCGGCTCAGGCAGCGCCCAGGGAAGCCGCCGGAGGAGCCATGCGGCGGCGCTGCCAGGTCTGGGCTCAGCCCGGCTGGGCTTAGGCCGATTCCAGCTTCTCCTGCGCGGCGGCGAGGCGGCGCTGGAGGTATCGCTGCCGCCAGCGCAGGAATCGCCGGCGCGCCCGGCCCGCCTGCCAGCCCACCACCACGCCGGCGGCGAAGGCGGCCAGCAGCGCCCAGCGAACCACCCGCGGCCGCAGCGCCTCCAGCACCATCCCGGCCCCGGCCCGAACCCGAGCCCGGCACCGCCTCCCGCTTCCGCCGCCGCGGGGGCGGGACCGGCCCCGTTAAAGGCGGCGGGGCCGGGGAGGTGCCGTGTCCGCCCGCGCCATGGCCGAGCCGGGGGCGCAGGTACCGCCTCGCCCCCGCGGCTCCCTCTGCCCTTTCTTCCCTCCTTCCAGCTCCGCGGAGTTTCCCCGGGGCTCCTCACCCGCTGTCTTGTGTTTCCCGCAGGATCTCCTGCTGGCAGCGGCGTTTGTCTCCGACGCGCAGTACAACAGGAATATTCCTTTTAAGACCTCCCCCGAGGCGGTCAGGTAAGGAGGGATGCGCTCCCCCCGCTCCAAACACACCTGCGGAGAGGTAACCGCATCCGTGGGCAAGCAGCAACAGCCAGAAAAAGTCTGGGTGCTAAAGAAGGGTAAATGGGTGGGGTGCCAAAAACTGGAATTAAACTGAAATGATTACAAACGGGGCTCAGCACATCTGTACGTCGAGGATGGGTACTGACATTAAAAAGTTGTGGTTTGCTGGAGGGGAGAAAATAAAACTCACAGGAAGTCTTCCAAGCCTCTGTGGGAATGAAGGGTTTGGGAAGCTGGCTCAGCCCTCAGCTGTGTGGAAGGTGCTGCAGTGGCAGAACCAAGTGGCTGCACAGTTAAGCATTTATTGTTTACTATAAGAAATATATTATATAATGAATATTCTGTTATTTAACCCTGCTCTGAAAGGCAGCATAGTATCCATCAGCTCCAAGACTGATTTGGAAACAAATTGCCAAATTCCTTGCTGGCAAAAATGTTTGTTTGGGACAGCAAGTGCTGTTCCTCCAGGACACATTTGGGGATGTGCCCTGCAGCCTTTATTTGTGGTGCCTGTGCCTTCTTCCTCCAGACTCTATCGCCTCTATAACCACTGGATGATGCGAACAGCCACCTACTTCTTCATCTTCCTCAACCTGTCCCTTGCCCTGTTTGAGGAACCTGCTGTGTATCCACTGCCCTTCCTGGTGAGTCTGTGGTGTAGGAGCAGCACATGCAGCTGCTGGAGCCAACTTGCTTCAAAATGGTTTGTCAGAGGTGCCAAGAGGCAGTGGATGGGGATGTTTTTGTGGCTGTTTTTGATCCTCTGCTCTGGTGAGACCTCACCTGGAGTCCAGCCTCTGGGTCCCCAGCACAAGAAGGACGTGGAAAGTTGGAGTGACTCCAGAGGCGGCCACCAAGTTGATCAGAGTGATGGAACAGCTCTGCTGTGAGAAAAAGCTGGGAGAATTGGGGTTGTTCAGCCTGGAGAAGCTTCAGAGTGACTTAATTGGCTCTTCCAGTTCTTGAAATGGCCACCAAGAGTGATGGAAAAAGACTATTTCTAAGTGCCTGGGGTGCCAGGACAAGGGGGAATGGCTTCCCACTGCCAGAGGGCAGGATTAAATGGGATATTGGAAATAAATTATCCCCTGTGAGAGTGGTGAAGCCCTGGCACGGATTTGCCAGAGAAGTTGTGGTTGCCCCATCCCTGGAAGTGTCCAAGGTGAGGTTGGCTGGGACTTGGAGCAACCTGGGGTAGTGGAAAGTGTCCCTCCCCATGGCAGGGTGTGGAATGGGGTCATCTTTAAGGTCCCCTTCAACCCAAAGGATTCTGTGATTTTATAATTCTATGACCTGTTTGAAATGGGGACAAAAAAGGCACAGGAGCTGGCCAGGGACTGTAGAAGCCGTTGTGGCCACCATCATTGGCTCATGTGACTGTGGACAAAGTCTTGTTGCTGTTCTCCATCCCAGAGATCAATTCCAGCCTTCTCTGGGCCTCAAGTCCAGTCCTCACGTGTGAAAGTAGAAGCCAAGTTTTACTTTAGGCCAGACTTTTCTGCACCCTTTATTTGTCCTTTACTGGTGTGATTGTGAAAGATGTTCTCCTTGAATCCTAAGCAAACACAGACTTGCTGGCTCTAACCTGCCTGTGGCAGGGAATTCCACAAAAGGAAGCCTGAAAACGTTGCTCTGCCTGTTTGTTTTTTTTTTTTTTTTTATCGTGCAAAAAGGAACATTGCTGCTGCTGGCTGTGCTGGCTGAGCCCTGCTCTCTCTGCAGGCCACGTCAGTGCTGGAGGTGGTGTGCCTCTTGGTGTTCCTTGGCCGGCTGACACACTTTGCCAAAGTCACCCTGCACAACGTGTTCTGGAAGGACACCAAGAACATCTGCATCATGGTGGCAATCCTGGTGAGTTGGGTTCAGGGGAGGTGGTTCTTTTCCCCCTCATGTTGCTTTCCTGGGATCCCAGACCTGGCCTACTTGAGCAAAACCAACCAGCTCTCACAAACCTGTTGTGTGTGCGCCTCTCTTGTATCATCTTGTTTACTATCTAGTTACACATTCCAGCATTAATTCTGGGAGCTTTCCCTCTTTCTCCTACAGTTATCCCTGACAGACCTGGCTGTTTATGGGGTCCTCAGGCTGTATGGTGTGAGGAGCATCCGATGGTCGAGGATTGTGAGGCCTGTCTTCCTCATCAACTTCGCAGAGAGTCGCCAGGTAAGGAAGAGGTCTGGTGGGATGCGCAGGGTCCTGTTTTTTCAGACAGCCTGCTGCTTTCCATAATCCAGGAGATTTAGAAAGGTTTTATGGCAGAATTCAGTGTCCTGTGAGAGAAAGTTTTGTTTCAGAAGCAGCCTGAAGCAATAATTTGTGATGGACAGAAGGGTAGATTCACACAGTACCACAGGAGAAGACCCAGTGTTCCCCCCTGAGTCAGGGACCAGGTTACTGATTTCTGGAAGTCTCCTGGGTAAACAAGTGTCATGGTGTTCTCAAACATGTAGTCTGGCTTTGGACTCTGATTCCTCTCAGCATGGAGAGATCTTTGTCCTGCTGCCCAAGACGGGTCTGGTCTTGACTAACAAATGAATAAACTGTGCTGTGGAGGCCTGACAGCAGGGAGGGAACAGCTCAACATTTGGGCTCAGGGCATGTGTTTTGTGAGCCGGAGTGATGGATTTGTGTCCTTCACTGGTTCCCTGCAGCAGGAACATCTCAGCAGTGCCCTGGGGCCCTCTGTCCCTTGGCTCCTGAGTTCACTGTGCTGTGTAGCTGGGGCCTTTCCTTCTAGGATCCCCCATGGACAAAAAGGAGGAAAGGCCTGGGACTGTTGCAGCCCAGTTGAGGGGTTTGATGCAGATGGGATGGTGAGGGGGGACAAGGGGGTGCCAGGCTGCCTCTGAACCCTCCCCTTGTCCCTGGCAGATCCGGAGGGCGTTCCGCAGCATCCGCAACACGCTGCCAGAGATCACCTACGTCTTCCTGCTCTTCATGTTCAGCCTCCTCATGTTCTCCCTCATGGCCTTGAAGCTGTTTGGAGAGAGGTGTGGGTACTTCCTTTGCTCCTGGGATACTCTGGGGCACTCCAAACAGTTCCTAGGGAATGCAAGCGCTGTGCTGATAGGCACAGCTCCTGTTGTTGTGATCCCACTGCTTAACTCCAGGCTGTCCTCTTCCTCCTAGGAATCTCCAGACAGCAGAAGGCTTGCCCTACTTCAGAAACTACCTGGAGATTGTGTTTGACCTCTACGTGCTGGTGACAACGGCAAACAGCCCAGATGTCATGTACAGATGATCAGATCTTTCTCTCAAAGTGTTCTCAGGGCTTTCTGTGCAGCTTCTAACTTGCACTGCAGAGTTAAAATTCTGTGTTGGGCTTTTCATCCCTCTCTCTTCTGGATTCCCATTGTAGTTTGTGCTGGGAAGGTGCTGGCAGGAGTAGGACAGGGAGGAATGGCTCAGCCATCTGTGTGCTGGAAATACCTTGAGCACAACTGGGATGGTACAAGGACCCTGGGAGTTTAAACTGAGAAATATGATGCTGCTCATCCTAGAGCAAGTGGAAAAGCAGATCTGAGTGCAGCAAGGGTCTGAGGCCAAAAACCAGCATATGGCTGAAGCATTGCCTCTTGTCTGCTCTTAAATTTGGCCACACTGGCAGAGATTTCATCTCTGTGCTGTCTCCTGCACCCCTACCTACAGTCAGGGCCTGACAAACCAGGCAGAAGAAAAGTGTTTTCTAGCTGAACAAATGCAGTTTTTAGCTTTTATCTGACAAGTTTGATCTGGCAGGCCCTGGGAAATCCGTGTGGGAGTCTGTTTCCTTGTGGACTCACTCTCCCTGTGTGTCTGTCTGGCAAGCAGCAATCCCTCTCCCTTTCTCTAGGATGCCAGCGTTTGACTTCAGCTCCTGGTACGCCCTGTTCTTCATCGCCTTCGTCATCGTCAACACTTATATCTTCATGTCTCTCTTCCTGGCTGTGGTCTACAACAACTACAAAAAACACCTGAAGGTAATGCCTGGAGGGGCTTGTGACCATTGGATTTCTGCTGCTCTCTGTCAGGAACCTCGGGCTTTCCTTTGGAAAGCTTTGAGAAGGGGAAATGGCTTCTTGCCTTTAGTGCTCTGCAAACAACAAGCACAAACCCACTTTTCATATCATGGGGTTTTTGGGAGTTCTGCTGTTGGCATTGAATGAAATATCCTATGGTGTTTCCAGCAGATAAGAAGCATGTTCTGCATCATCTTGGAGGCTTAGTCCTAGCTCAGGAATGCTGTCTCCGTGCAGGGAATTGTTTTTGTGCAGCATCTTTGCATGTGCTTGTAGAGCAAGGGAACTGGAAATGGGAGGTCTGAGTAAATCAGAATTTTTGTTCTGAGTAGGGGCAGTTTGGGACTTGTGATCAAATGGGGAGAGCTGGGAATTCCTGGGTGTTCCCATGAGGCAATTGGATCTTTCTCAGGAAGCAGAGTGCTGGATGTCCCTCTGCTCACAGTCACGTGCAGAAGAGGATCCCCACCCCTGCTCTCAGCAGGATTCACTTGTGGATGGGAAGCATGTGTGGACACATCCTCTTTACTTCTGTGGCCATGCAGATCCCGTGGTCTTTGTCACCTCCTTCCTGTCTGACACTACCCTTTGTCTTTCCTTCCGGTTTTTCAGTGTTGTCCCAGCATCCAGCAATTTGCTGATCCTTCCAGAGCTGTGTGGAGAACCCACAGCTACCCGTTAAACACCATTAAGCACACTGTGCTTTGTGTCCCGTGTCATTCCCCTGGGTCTCTCTTTGCATCTCTGTGCTGTGGAAATGAGTTTATTTGTTAAAGAAAGGGGGAAGGGCACCTGGAGCTGCCTGACTCCCGGCACTCTCTCTAGAACGAGATCCGTAAACTCGCCTACATGAAGCGCCGCAAGATGATCGAGGCCTTCAACCTCCTGAAGGAGGACGAGGGAGGGCAGTTCGTGGTGAGGGAAGCCCGGTGGAAGCAGCTGGTCAAGCTGGTGGCTCCTGACACCAGCAATTCCCACCGGGAGCTGCTGCTCCGCATCTCGGATGACGAGCAGAAAGGGTTCGTAGGTGAGCGCTGGGGACTGGGGAGGAGCCAGGAGCCTGATCCTTCAAGGGGTTTGGAGTTGGCATTTGGGATCTGTAGTGGCCCCAGAGGGACTCGGAATCACAGAAGTTGGAAAAGACCTCCAAGATGGAGTCCAACCTGTGCCTGCTCCCCACCTTGTCACCCAGCCCAGAGCACTGAGTGCCACATCCAGTCATTCCTTGAGCATCACCAGGAATGGAGACTCCAGACCCCTCTTCCTGTTCCCCTCCAGATTCCTGGAGTCCTGAAAGGCTCTTCTTGCTGCCTATGCTATAGCCCATGTCCCACACACTGTGAGTGGCCTTTCATGGCCATCTGACATCAGGCCAAGCTTTCCATGGCATGTGGGACCTCCTGTTCTCAGCAGAGGATGTGGAAAGCCTTCCTTGCTATCAGATGCCATGTGGAATAGAAACATCAGGAGAGATGGGCCAGTCTCCTCATTCTGAATCATTCTGTGGTGGTTTCTGGCCCATGGTTTCACCCAATTCCCCAGGAGTGGGATGGAGAACCTGTTTGAATTCCAAGTTCAGCCTGTTGTGGTGGATACCACTCAGGACTGGCTTTGCTTCGAGCAGATACCAAGTCCAGATCGCTTCCACTCCTCTGTGGGCTGGGATTTGCATTTAGCAGGCACTGCTTATTTGCCATGAGATCTGACACGTGGCACTGTGCTGCAGACAAGAAGTCCTTCGTGCAGCTGGCAGACCTGCTCAACATCCAGGTGGTGACGCTGAAGATCCGCAGGCACCCTCTGGCACGCTGGGCGCCGGCCCTGTACGGATCCACACCCAGCCGGCTCCTGCGCGGCGCCGTGAGGCACAGGTGAGTCTGGCAGGGCTCACCTGGGTGTGCTGACTGTGGCCAGGCCACCCTCGGGGGCTCTGCCACTGCTCCTGGCCTGCCTTTGTCACTGTGGAGGAGCCAGCTCGCTGCCTGAGCTGGGCTTTGCTGCCATTAGGCTGCGCTTTGTGTCTTGGCACGCAGGTGCAAAGCGCTGCACTTAGATCTGCTCCTACCTTTGCAGTCTCTGCTGCAGAGCTCTGTCCTGCTGCCTTATCAGGTCTGGGAGTTACAGAGCTCCCTAGAACTGAGAGTTCTAGAGCTCTCTTTCACCTCCAAACCTTCCCAGAATCCTCAAATAGCTGTAGTGATTTTGTTTTCCTAACTTGAAATTTTCCTGCTGTGAGATAGGATTAGGACGAAGGCAAAAACAGGCTCAGCTTTAAATAGTACAAAGAGAAACATCATTACTAGAAACTATAAGGAAAAAAACACCTCAGAATAAAACTTTAGACTACTATTTTTTCACACTGAAAACGTAAAAAACAACTTTAGTTTACCGTTTCTGAAATAGTCTTTCACTAATTTGCTTGAAAGAGGAGACTTCCCTCTTTAGTCTGTGGAGACAAAGACTTTACAAACCACCACAGTTCCAAGGACCATCTAGGGATGGGCTAGTGGAACCCCCCTGCTCTAAGCAGGGTCAGCCAGAGTAGGGTACTCAAGGCTATCCTAGCTGGGCTTGGAGTATTCCCAAAGGATGGAGGCTCCATAACCTCTCCAGTGCTTGATCACCCCTGGTTAAAAAAAACAAACCCAAGCAACTTCTTTGTTTAAGTGGAAATTCCTGTATTTCAACGTGTGCCCCTTGTCTCTTGTGCTTCCACTGGATATCACTGAGAAGAGTCTGGCTCCATCTTCCCTGCACCTTCCCATCAGGTATTTATGCACAGGAGCTGCTCCTGACCTTTCTCCCTGCCAGGCTGGACTACCCCAGCTCTCCCAACACATCATATTCCACTGTCTCGTCCTTCTGTCAATTTTGTGACCCTTTAATGCACCAGCTCTATGTGTTCAGGCCTCTCTTGTACTGGGGAGCCCAGCTGACCCTGACTCCTCCCTCAGCACCTTTGAGCGTGGCCTCACCAGTACTGAGTAGGTGGGGAAAAATCACTTCCCTGGACACCTGTTACCCAAATTCTGTGTTGGACCTCAAGAGCAAAACTAAACTCTTCAGTGCCTCCCCCAAACTCTCAGGTTTGGGGAGAACTGATGGGTAAAGAATTTCTGAGAGAGGAGGCAAAGAGCTCCTGAAGTAACTGCGTGCCTTTGACCTCCTTGGGAGCTGCAGACTGATCTCTCCTGGTTCTTGCAGGGCTTTTGTTTGGACTTTTGATGCTATCATCCTGATAAATGCCATCTTCATTGCTCTGGATGAGGAGAGCCCCTACATTTCCTATGCAGAGTGGGTGTTCCTGACTCTGTACATCATCGAGATCCTCCTGAAGGTCTACACTTATGAACCCAGGGAGTTCTTTGGCAAAACCCAGTTCTGGAACTGGTGAGTGGGCTGGAAGTTTGTGTGGAGTGTGGTGTGTGCTGTGCTCAGCTCCTGAAGGACTGAAAAGCTCCGAGCTCCTGTGCCAGGTTTTGTTTAAGATCAATCAGAGGATGCTGTGACAAAGCTGTCCCATGTGCCCATAGTCTGAGCTGACCCAGGGCTGCCTGGCCCTGTTGTGAGGAGCAGGGGTCACTCCTTGTTTAAACCCCACTCCTGTCCCCCAAAATCTAACGGCAGTGCCCTTCCCTCATGCCAGGTTTGATACTCTCATCATCTTTGCTGCCCTGACTGCAACGATTCTCAATGCCACCCTCAAGTCCAGTAAGTGCAGCTTGAGCAGCCTGCATGCCTTGGGAATCTTGGTGTCCTTCCCAGCCTTCTGCAAGCACCTCAGGCTTGAGAGGCTTTGTGACTAGACAAGCAATTTCTGGAGGGTTTTTAAGAACTAACCCAGTCTTCCTTTTTTTTTTTTTTTTCCTTTTTTAAATATTTTTTTTTTTAGCTCCGTACTAGTGTTTTAACAAGGATATATAATAACAAATGAAAATTCTATCTAAACGCTTCCCCCGGTGTTATTTTCATTATAAAAATATATTTGGGTCTTTTTCAGCCATGAAGTACAACAGCCAGCAGATCCTGGACATTGTGTTCATCCTGAGAGTCCTCAGGCTGATCCGGATTGTCGACAGCATTCAGAGGTGAGGAAGGAAGTGGGATGGGAGATGGTTTTTGGGTTTGGTCTGTGCCAGAGGCTGTGTGACCATGGCCACTCCACAAAGCATCCCGAGGCCTTGTCCCAGCATGCCTGGGATGAGCCCAGTGGCTGCAGCCTCCTTGGAGGCTTTTTTGGGGGCTGTGGGGAGCATGTGGTGGCCAGGGTGTGACAATAACCAGCGTGGGCTCTCTGTAGGTTCCAGGTCATCATGAACACCCTGATAAACATCGTCCCAACCATGCTGACTTTTGGTGGGCTCACTCTGGTAAGAACTCCTGGTATCCTGGCTCAAAGCACTCCAGTTTCACAGAAATGTGCCTTAAATCTCACACTCATGCTGTTTCCAAGGGGATAAATGCAATTCCCTGGATGGCAGGCCCTTGGAACTGTAAGTGACCGTTTGAATCGTGGCCATTGTGCAAGCAAAGCGTGCAGAGGGGCTGCATTCCTGCTTTTCCCTGGATCAGGACTTCCTCCTTAGATCCATGGGGTGTTCTGGCAGCCTGGGCTTTGCATCAAAAGGAATCAAAACATGGTTTGGGCAAGAGGCTGAATGAGAAACCTGGATTTCAAGTGATTTCCTCAAATGAGCCTCTGTTATGATTTGGGAATATTTCCTATCCGTGTATTTGTTGTTCTTGGTTAATTATTGCTGCTTGGTGATTGCTGTTGGTGGCTTGGGGCTCTTGGAGTCTGTGCTGCACCCCAGCCCCTTGCTGTGCCTATGGAAACTGGAAAACCTGCTGGGATGCTGAGCTTGCCCTGGGGCTTGCAGCTTGCTGGAGAAGCAGGTGATGGGCTTTCTCTTCCCAGGTTGTGTATTGTGTGTTTGCTATCATTGGCATGGAGTTATTCCATGGGAAAATCCAGTACTTCCCGGCCAACTCGAATGCTCCTCACGCCCTGGAGTGTGGGAATCCAGCTCTCAAGGATTCCCTGTTTGCCCGTGGGAGGTACTGCAAGAACAACTTCAACGACTTTGCCTCATCCTTCATTGTCCTCATGGAGCTCACCGTGGTCAACCAGTGGCATGATATCCTTTGTGGAGCACATTCCCAGCTGGATCCTTGGGAATTGGCCTTGCTGGTCCTTGGGGGAGGTTGGGGTTGTTCTCAGATCCACGCTCTGCACAGGGACAGGTAGCACAGATGGTCCCTCAGAGGCTTTTGTTGGGATCCTGGTTCTTCCCTCAGCTCCTCCTTCCCTCTTTTCCCTTAACTCCCACTCCACTCTTTGCCAATGGATTTGCCAACGTGACAGTTCAGCCAGCCAAGCTCTACTTCATCGCCTTCCACATTGTGATGGTGATCATCATTGTCAAGTATGTTTTTTTTGGGATGATTCCATCTGCTTTAGATGGAAAAGGGGATCTGCCCCTGGGATGTGTTTAGAAGGATCTGCTGCATTCTTGTCCCCACTGGGTGCTGCTCTGACCTGGAGGGGATGGAGCTCTGGGAAGTGAGCCTGGGAATACTGAGACAGTCAATGCCAGCCAGGAAATGCTGCCTCAATCCTGCTCATTGTTTCTTTCAGCATCTTTGTGTCATTCATCTTGGAAGCTTTCTTTGTGGAGTACTCCCTGGAGAAGAGTGAAGTGGAAACTGCCATCGAGCAGAAAATCCAGGAGCTGGGAATGGGAGTTCAAGAGTAAGCCCCCCAAATGTACCCATGCTGGATTGGCACCCCTGATGAGGGAAAACCACCCTCTGTGTCGAGGTGTGAGTTGACATTCCCCTTCCTTGTCACAAAGTTCTGGCTCATCTTCCTGGAAAATGGAGATTCCTCTTCCCTGTCATGAAGTTCTGGCTCCTCTGCTGGTTTAGGTGCCAGTAGAAGGCCACTGGTGTTGGCTTTGCTGCCTCTCGTGGCTCTTCCAGCTGGGAATTCCAGCCCAGAGGACAGGAAAGATGCTGGAAAATAATCCCATGGCTGGTGATTGTGCTGCCCCACTGAGAGCCCTGCAGGGCTCCCAGGGTGGGATGTGCCCTGTCCCCAGGGTAATTCCTGGCCCTTGCTGTGCAGGGATGAGCTCCAGCAGGAACAGCTCCTTGACAACATGGAGAGTGCAGAGCACGAGCTTGAGGGGGAAGGTGGAACGAAGCCACAGAGCAAAGGGCTGGTGTTCAAAATTGCCTCCAAACGTAAGTGTGACCCTCCAGGGTGTCCAGGCCCGAGGTTCCCAGCTCTTCCTGGGGAAGATCCCAAGCCCTGCTGCTCCTCAGGGGCTCTAAAAGCAGCTGAAACCCACCTGGAAACTTTGGGACAGCTGTGGACATTGGATGTTTGTTGTTTGTTTTTACTTCTGTAGCACCTTCTCCTCTCCCACCTCAGCCCTTCTGTGCTCCTTGTCTTCATTAACCTTCCTCTGGAGACACTGCCCTGGTGGCCAAGGTCCTGCTGTGCCAAGACACCTGCTTTCCTTTCTCCTTCCTCCATGGGCTTTGCATTCCTGCTGCCTTGGATCACGGGGTGACTATATCCTACTTTCCCTTCTTCTCCTGGCTTTCTTGCTGTACCTCAGGTTTCCATTGTGTGGGAATAGAAGGGCTTAAAATCCCAAATAATGGCCTTATCTTTGAGAACTTAAATCAGATGGGGTGGAACAACAGGGAGTGTAATTTGGGGGATTTTCTTGACTGTTTTAAAAGCCTGAAGGTATCTGGAGGCGCACACCAGGTGCTTACAGGGCTTTCTTTTTTTTTTTTTTTTTTTTTTTTTGTGGCCCCAGGGTACAGGACAGTGGATGCTCTGCTGCAGCGCATGTTTGAGGCAGAGATACCCCTGGAGGATGAAGGCCCTTCCTTTGAAGAGATCCTAAACTTGTCCCCCACCTCGGCTGTCCCCAGGAGCCCGAATTCCCAGAGCGCAGCGTGATGGGAGGGGATCAGGGAATGGAGCTGAGTCCCGGCTGTCCAGGTGTTCCCTGACTGCTCCCGCGCCTGGGGCCCCGGTTGCACGGTGGGAACAAACAGCTTTGTCCTGTAAAGGAGCTTTATTTCATGTAAAGTCTGGTATAAACCTCTGGAATGTGGAGGGGGGAGTCGCAGTATCCGGCTGTGCCCGGAGAGGGACGGTGCCGTGGGCGGTGTGTTATGGAATAACTCCTTCTTGTAACTGGAATTGTATCGCAGCACTTTTATACGCAGCTCTGGACCGGTGTATGCTGAATGGAGCAGCTCTTGAGCACAATAAATTCAGCAGTTTGGAAAAACGATGGAATTGCCTCCGAGTTAATGACGGGAGAGGGTTGTGGTTCCTCCATGATATCGTGGAGGTTGGAAATGAGGCTGGGGGAGAGGGAGTGGAGGCGCCGCGTGCATTCCCAGATTTTCCCATTCCCTTCCCAATCCTTCCTTTAATCCCGCATTTTCCTTGGGGATGTGACCAGGGCGCCGTCCAGCGGCCGCCATGCGAATTGCACCCTGGGGAGCACGGAGTTCATTGCGTGATTGACGGGAATATCCACCAATGGGAAGGCGGGGTGGGCTGAGCGCTGGCCAATGGGGAGGCGGCGCGGGGCCGCGCGCGGCCAGTTTGAATCGGCGGGAGCGGTTGGGGCGGGCGAGCATGGACGGGCCCGGACGGTGAGCGGGGAACGGGATAACGGGATGGGAAACGGGATAACGGAATGGGATAACCAGATGGGGAAGGGCATCGGGGAGTGCCCCGGTTCCCGGAGCTGTGCGGGTGCCGTGGCCGCGCGGCGCTGCGGGGGCGGCAGAACCTTCACCCGCTTCCCACCCTCACTCATCCCGGCGTGTTCCCTGCAGGAATTATGAAGCTCAGATCCGGAATTACCGAGGGCCCGACCCGCTGGAGCCATGGGACAGGTAAGCATGGCCCCGGTTCGGCGTGTGGCGTGCCCGGTTTGGGTGTTGCCCCCATCCCTGCCCGGGAGCTGACTCTGGAATGGTTGCAGGTACCTGCAGTGGGCAGAGGGATGTCTCCCTGTCCAGGAGAAGCAGAGCCGCTGGCCCGGGCTGCTGGAGGAGCTGGTCAAGGTGTTCGTGGGCGACAAGAGGTACCACCAGGACCCGCGCTTTGTGAGCTACTGCATCAAGCTGGTGCGTTTTTCTGGGAATTAAATTATCCTGATCTATTCACGCCGCACTTCTGGGACTGCAGAGAGCCTGGGGAGGAGCAGGAGGCCTCAGGAATTCTGATCTTCTGCAGAACAGGGAGACCAGAAAAAAAATCAAGAGTGTGTTTTTTAAGCTAGGTAGCTCGAAGAGATTTGCCTTAACTTCTCTTACCCTTAGAAAACGATGCTTTCCTATATGATAACTAGGAAACTCTGTTTTTTTTATTTTGGCTGCCACTCCTTTGGATGTGTTTGGAAGTGCTGATGGCTTCTTGCATTTGTGTCGTGCAGGCAGAGTTCATCTCTTCCCCTTGCCAGTACTTTGAGTACCTGCACGGGCAGGGAATCGGAGCCACCACCTCGGATTTCTACCTGGCCTGGGCTCAGCTGCTGCTGAAGGAAGGCAACGTGCAGGGAGCAGGAGCTGTGCTCCAAAAAGGGCTCCTCAACCAGGCACAGCCCCGGGAGAGCCTGCAGCAGCTCCACTGGTAACTCTGGAGCCTCTCCTACTCGTTTACTCAGTGCTCATAATTACTCATAATTAACCGTGGCTAGCATGTGATTGATTTTTATTTTTATTTTTTTTTTCCTTGCGTGCTTATTTTCAGTAAAGGGGGGTTTAAACTTAGCAACGTTTCTTTGCTGTTGAATGTTTACTGGGTGTTTTGGGATGTGTATTTAAAAAACAATATCCCAGAGTAAAGCAAATCCTTGAGCTGAGTCTTGAAGTTAAGCATTTACTTCTTAGTTTTTTGCATTTAGCTTTCTAAAGTAAAATGTAATGTAAAACATTAAACAAATGCCCAATTCTGTTCTCCTGCTGCCTCTTGAAGGCTTTTTTAATTTTGCAGCTGTGGAGATGTCCATATACAGTAAAAGTCATGCTTTTCAGTGTTATATTTCATGGCATAATTGTACAGGGAAATCCAAGATTGCTGGGAGGTGGGGATGCGTGAGGGACAGGTGATTTCATTATAATAACTGAGGGTTTTTTTGCAATTTAGCTCCCTGCAGAGTTATGATCCTCGGAATCCTCCTGTGCAAGGTGAGGTGTTTAATCTGTACCTGCACTAAATTAATTTTTTTACCTCAATGAGTGAGTTTTGTCACTGAAAAAGCCAAATTTCCCGTAAAAAACAGCGTATTTTCCTTCTTTACATGAAAACTTCTTAAGGGCAGTGTATTCAAACCAAGTTATTAATTTTCCAGTGCTTCAAGTTAATAAAAATACAAAGAAGCAAACAATTTTTACTCATTAATGAGTGAAAAATACTTACATTATATTTTCTGTGCCAGATGCTCCTGTTGTAAAACCACTTCAGACTTCCCATGCTGCAAATCTAATGGCTCCTCCAAAAGGTGTTTCGAGTCCTAATCCCTGCAAAAGTCAGGTAAATGAGGAATTATTTGGGAAAGATGTTTCAGGTAGAGTTTGGGTTGGCTGAATAAGGGAAGAGTGACTCTATCTGGTGTGTCTCAAAACTGATTTTGAGATGGTATTGCTGCTATTTTCCTGCTGCAAGCATCACATCTCCATAGGAATGTCTCATCTGGGAAGCACTGGGACACACTCAGTGGCCTGACACATTCCCAGAATCACAGGAATAATATTAGCAGTGGATTCTGTGCTGCTTGAACTTAATTTGGTTTCATTTTCTCGTGTTTTATTTCCCTGCTGCAGGGTCTAGACGCTGCTGATTCTCAATGCTGTGCTGCTGGAAAAGAAGTGTAAGTAGTTGGGTGGTGCTTTTAAAGTCCCACTGTGGGAAAAGGAGCTCTCTCCTGGGATAAATCCCCCAAGCCTGGCCCTTTTTTTCCCCTTCTCTCTCCCAGGAATTACGTGACCTACATCTCTAAGTCCGAGGTGGTGCCGAAGCCGCTGCCGGGCGCCGCGGGCTGGGAGCAGGTCCCGATGTACGACAAGAACCTGCTCCTGTGTGAGGGCTCTGAGCTCTCCTTCGAGGAGCTCAGGGCCAGGAGATACTCCAGGAAAGATGAGCTCCTCAGGAGGCAGCAGGCACTGGGTATTCCCATATTCCTTTTTTTTTCCAGCTCTCAAAGTGGCTGTTTCCTGGTTAAGCTCATCCCTTGGGTTCCTCTTTTCAGTGCCACGATTAGTGGTGTCTCTGCTGAGGAGACAGGAGGCACAGTGAGCCATCAGCATGGCATCTAAATATTATTTAATATCGTTCTTTAATCCTTTAGAGGAGGAGAAGAAAGACTCGATGAGAAAAAAGGAGTCGGCAGTCCTGGAACTCCAAGCCCTGCAGAAGAAGCTGGATCAGCTCACGCAGCTCTCCAGAAGCCTGGAGGAAACAAGACTGGAACCAGCAGCTGAGCCAAACCAGAGGGTGGTGAGTGGGTTCTGGAAAGGACAGGAATGCTCTGCCTAGGCTTATCCCACAAAATCCAGCCATGCTGTAGGAACCAGGCTTGGTTGTTAGCCCAACCTGGAGGTTGAGGCTGCAATACCAGTGTGGAAACCTGGTACAGCTTGCAACACTCAGATTTAAAAGGTTTTTGCTTCTCCATAGTTTAGTTTGAGATGCAGCTAAAAGCCCTCTTGGGTTCTGGGCACATGGAACTAACAGGAAAAATGGGAATGGCTGTATGTGGTGGGGAACCTAAAGGTTCTTTACCTTTACATGTGGAGCTGGTAGAGAAAATGGGAATGGCTGCATTTTTGGGGGGAAGCTGGATGTCACAGAACACTTCTCATCCCTAAAGGTGCCCCCACCTGTGAGGCCCAGCACATCTCACACCCCAGGGACCTGGATGGCACCTGCTCCAGGGCTGGATGTGCCCAAGTGCCAAGCTCTGGTGCCTGAGCAGCCCCAACTCCAGGCACCACCAGCGACCACTCCCAGGCTGCAACCAGCGAAGCCCCTTGGTGACCACATCCCAGCAGCCTCTCCCTGGGGAGCACCAGAGGACAAGGACCCAGCTGGAGCTCGGGCACAGCTTGGGGAGCTCCAGAACAGTTTGCTGCACCCTCACTTCAGTGCTGCTCCAGCTCAGGAAAGGGCTCGTCCCAACCCAGCTCTGCCTCGGAATGTGGGACAACTGTGAGTGTGAACTCCTCTGCAGTTGTGTCTTCAGGGTGCACACTGAGAGTTAGCTAAAAATAAGCTTTTCTTCCCCTTCAGGAAAAAAAAAAACCTGACCTGAAACTGCTATTTATTAAACTTGGGCCAAACTTGGTCCTCATGGACACCTTTAGTTCCTTTTACCCCGTGGTTTAGTTGCAGTAAGAGGAAATTTGGTGTGTAATGCGTGGCTGACTCCAGCATGCCTGGAATAAACCCCAGGAATCTGCAGATCCCACTCCAGGGTCTTCAGAGAACGATTAAAAGTGCTGCTCTTTCTCTCCTGCACTTTTGCTGTGGGACTTGGCCACAAAATGAGGGGGGCAGAGGGAGAAACCCAGGGTGGCTCAGAGGGCTTGGCCAAGCTGGGAACAGTTATTCACTCTTATTCTGGAATTCTTTGGAGGCAAACTGTGTCCAAGGAGCACTTTTAATGCATTTTAACCTTTTTAAAGGACTCTGCTGCCTCTTAGGTTATTGGCAGCTGCAGAAGAAACTTTCCAGGGTGATCTTTATTAAAGGACCTTTCACTTCATTGAAATAGGGATTGAAATGGGATTTAAATGGCTTTTATTCCAAGGTAATGTTGTGACTCTTTCTTCTAAAGGTCCCCCAGCAAGGGATCCACTGGATTAACTCCTGCTGTGGATGTGAAGCAAGGTAAGGAACCTTTGCATGGAGACTGATGCCATTGGTGTGGCTGCTTCCAGCTGGGAATTGTTAACTGATTGTGGCCACCAGCTCCAACCCTGGCAAAGCTTCTTGACTTCCCAACCTCCACCCCTGCATGTCTGTGCAGGGTCTCTATCCCCTCCGTGGAACATGGATCCAGTCCCTGTTCCCGTGTTCTGAGCAGTTCCCTTTGGAGCACGGTTGGGAATTGCTGCTTGTCCTCGCTGGCTTCCTGCTCCACCTTCTGTGTTGGGAACAGAGCATTCCTGGGAATTGCAGATCCATTCCTTGGAAGCCACCCAGCTCTCCCAGGTCCCTCTTGCCCTCCAGGGCAACCTTCCTTGGGGACCTGCCATGCAAATCCCTGAACAAGCC